TTTCCGGATATACTTGTGATGATAATTTAGTTATGAATTATGAAAAATTTGAGATGCCAAATCCGTAGCTAATTAAGATGTTTCTTTTATGAAGTTTTTTGATAAATGGTGGCAGAGTTTGGTTAGTAGAAATAGTAGTAAATTAAGAGATTGGTGACAACACGTTAGTCATTAATTGTGTCGATTTGAGATGATAATTTTGTCACAGTGAGTGACAAAATTATGACATTATGATAGGCACAAATAATAACGGTTTTGAGACGTTTGTAGTATGTAATAGTGATTGTTTTGTTACTCTTATGTATCGTTACTGTTTGTGGCGAAACAATTACTAATAAAATCCGTCGCAGTTTTTGTAACGTTTTTGTTATAAAAAAGAATTTGTTACGACTTTATATTGTAACTTTTTGCAAATCGTCACAAATTCGTCATAATGTTTATATTGTTACGAAAGATTATTTATTGTGACGGAAAATTTTGTCACAATAGATTCTTTTTCTTGTAGTTTGTATAGTGTAGATTATTTGGTCGAATGAGTAAATCTGTTTGGAGTGTTTCTTAAATAACATTTCCAGAACTACAAAATAAGTTAAATACAAAAAATTGTAAATTCTAACAAGAGGTCATAACCGTTTTTGAATTACAAAACTAATTATTATGATATATAAACTAATGTTCAACTATTTATTATGAAATAAGCTCCTGCATATCTATTTATTTATATGAAATTAAAGAGCCAATCGTCTTATCAAAACCATATATGAATGGTCAATTGTCTTATCAATAATAGGGATCTAAAACAAGTGCTAGCAAATGAAACGAACAAACAGGTGTGAAAAAGCATAATAGAACGCTGGAGTTGTTTATCATCTTTTTTTGCTAAATTAGTTATTTATCATTTGATGGAGTTTCATAACATTATGTCAGGGAAGAAAGTAAAGGCAGAAACCGCCAATCTTATGTTCCAACAAGAAAAATTTGTGTGTTAAGCGTTTTGGCCTTTTTGTTAGCAAATGGTATGTTTGTTATAAATTTATCTTTGTTGATTTAATATAATTACTTTTAGGTCCTAAGACGTTTGTAGTACGTAATATTTCATTGCTAATTTTATGAAAGTAATATACATCGTGTTATATGTGCATTCATATTAAACTATAAACTAAAAAAGTCAATTCACTTTATAAAATATTTTATTTTCTACGATTGCTTCACTTTCTTATCATTATATTTTTGCATTCGTATATGTCGACGTCTAACTAATTAAAAAAAAAATAAAAAAGTTCAATTATGTATAAAACTCATCGATAAAACAAACGCATGCTAATAAAACCTAGTCTATACTATATAAAAGTTGAGGCTATAAGCTCCTAAAAACGTCCACGTAGGATTTTAACCAATCTATAGTAATTTGCCATGTCAAATATTTAGAATTAAGTTAATTTTTTTTTGTTGATAATTGGAAACTAAGACATGATTTTTTCTTATTTCATTAACATATAACTTCAAGTAATTTCTAATTATTTGTGGATTTAATTTCCTATTTCAATTTTAGATATTATAGATTTGAAAATTTCGTTAATTTAAAAGTCTTAACTATTAAAAAAAACGTGATTATTTCTAGAAAATAAGAAAATAATCCAAATAGAATATGTCCAATAGGATCTTACTTTCATTCTCAATTAACTACAATAGAGATTAGGAAAAAATTCCCAACAATCCACAAAAACTAATATAATTTCTTCATTGTGAAATATATATCTAAACTATAAATAACACATGAAACGATCAAAATTTTATACAAATCAATCATTCTCTTCATTGAAAAAAACCTTCTCTTCTTTAGGAGGTTGAGAGGGGGAAGGTGAAGGGAGAGAGACGGAGATAGTTTAGCAGTAGAGTTCTTTTTGCTTTTTGGCGATTCGCGAAAATTGTTTCGCTTTTACGTTTTTGTTGTTATTATTAAAAAAAAAAGGTGTTGCAGCGTGTATTGTAAAGAATTGGGACAGATATCGATCATTGAGGCCAGCCACGTGTCCACCTACGGAGAGTGCTGGCCTCTTTTTATATAGTAGACTAGGTTTTGTACTCACGCGTAGCAT